AGCAAGCGACTACGACGCGCTCTAGTTGCTCGCAGCCGCCAGATGCCTCCCAGCACGAATGTGAAGCTCGGCGATGTGGTCTATTTCTACCGCGAGGGCAAGCGGAAGAACCGGCGGAAGAGGGGCCCGTCCTTGATCTTCAAGGCCTGGCATGGTCCGGCGGTCGTGATCGGTGTGGAGCCGGCAGCCGTCTACGTCTCGTACGAGGGGTTGTCGACCAAGTGTGATCCTGCGGCAGTCCGCCGCGCATCGCCAGATGAGGCGCTGCGGATCAGTGCCAGAGAGCAGCTGGACATCATGGAGAAGGCTCTCCTCGACATGAAGACTGAGGGGGAGCTCGACATGGAGGATGCGACCAAGGGGCATGAGGACACGGACGAGGTCGTCCCAATCGACGAAGGTGAAGCGCCAGAAGATGAAGCTCGACCTTCTCAAGCTGACGAGGACGTCGAGGGGCAGGCCGAGCAGGAGCAGCAGGAGTCGACGGCAGGGATCCCACCATCAGCCGTCGTGGCTGCGATGGCCGGTACTTCGGCCAGTGGCGAGCTCGATCCCATTTCGAGCGCTGAGTTCTCGCGGAAGACGAGTTCTCGGGAGAGCGGGAAGACGGACTTCCTGCAGGACGTGGCGCAGCGGCTGCGGGACCAGGGGGAGGACCCGATCCGGTCAAAGACGCTGCGCGTGGCGAAGACCATCCAGAGGCAAGTTGGAGAAGTGCGTGAGCGGGCGAGGGCTTCGACCGCTACGGTACCGGTGGCGAACGTCGTTCCAGACGGACAGTTCGGGCCCTACGGCAACCTCGCGCCAAAGATGCCGCGCGTCGAGGACGACGAGGACGAGGATCAAGGACGTGAAGGTGATGCTTCGAGCCTCAGCACGCCTGCGGTGGAGACGGTGTCTGTGGAGCCTGAGGTCCAGCCTCATGGCAGGAAGCGTGATGTGGTGTAAGCTGAGCTGCCTGAGGTACCATCTCGTGGAGGACGTGACGGGCCACCGGAACCCAAGCACCCCGACGAGGCGCTGTGGGTCAAGGGTGTGAAGAAACGAGCTAAAGCATGGCTCCAGGGTGCTCCTGAAGCAGATCGACGGCGCTTTCTGGATCACCTGGAGACGGTACCTGCGGTTGATCCACAGTTGGAGGCGATGCTCGTTCAGGGCCAAGCCCGGAAGGAGAAGGTCTGGAGTCGGATGGACCCACCTACGAATGCGAATTACGAAGAGGCAGCGGCGTCGCAGTGGACGAAGTGGATTGACACGGAGTCCGTGGAGGTGCTGCTGGAGAAGGAGTCCTCTGAATTCGAGGAGCAGATGAAGCGCGAGGGCAAGGGCGACTACATCATGAGTACGCGGTGGGTGCTGACTGACAAGAGCGATCCCCTGAGGACGGAGGCGAATGACCTACCGTTGAAGGCGAACGCGAGGCTGGTGGTCAACAGTGGCGACCCGGGGCGTTCGGACGAGAAGGCCAACGTGAGAGTGGACTCGCCCTGCGCGACCACCCAGTCGGATACGATTTTGACGTAGGTAGCTGCGTCTCACCCGGAGTGGAAGTTTGGATCGAAGGACGTGAGTGGCGCGTTTCTCAAGGGCGAGGTGGACGAGCGTGGCTTGGTGATTCGCGTTCCGATGCATGGTCCCTCGCTCGCAGATTTCCCTCGAGGTCGACTGGCGCGAGTTCGGAAGGGTGTGTTCGGACTGCCTGCGGCGCCGAGGCTGTGGTACCTGAAGGTGGTCTCAGCAGCCCGCAAGTTGGGACTCGAACCTTCTCGCTCGGACCCCGCATTCTTGGTGCTCCACGACCCGAAAGGGAAGAAGCGCGGGCCGGACGCGATGTGGGGCTGTGTCTGCGTGCATGTGGACGACTTCCTCTGGACGGGGAACGAGAAGATGGCGACTGTGATGGACGCGCTGGGCAAGGAGTTCGGCTTCGGCAGTGAAGAGTACGAAAACTTTGTGTTCTGCGGCAGGCGGTTTCAGCGACAGCCTGGAGGAGCGATCACTATTGACATGATGGAATACGCGGCCGGGCTGGAACCTGTGATGGTACCCAGGGCACGACGCACAGTGGCGCACCAGCCCATGAACGCAATGTGTGTTGTATAAGATACAATGAATTTTTCGGGCCTCCACCTCTCACCCCTTCCCCCCCCCCGACCTTTACTTTGGACTTCGGGGGGGGGCGGGGAGCAGCTGAAGCGCCGTCTGTATAACGTGTTATGCATGTGTTCTCCGTCTCAAGTTCTTTGTGGGCTCAAGCGTTCATGCCTATTTCGCTTGAGCTTGATTCAGTCGGCTCGACTTCTCCCTCTCGCGCGGGCAGTGCGATATCTTCTGCTGGCTCGTCCTGGGAGCTGGTGGGCTCAGAGTGCGGGGAGCTCCCGGTCTTCCTTGCGGGGCAGGCGCCGAGCCTGCCAGAGGGCGGGGGTCGAATCCTCGCGACGGCGCGCTGCGGCGGGCCGCTCCTGGTGTTCCTCTGGACGCTCGTGACTGTGGTCCGCGACCCGCCGAGTCTCGATGAGGAGCCGCTGGAGGGTGAGGAGTTCACGCCAGAGCGGGTGATGCCAGTGGAGGTATGGAGCAGGCGCTACTACCGCCGGAGCGCGACGGATGGTGTGGAGATTTTCCTTGTTCGGCGGAAGACGGGAAATTGCTGGGCAGCCCTGCTGCCCGATCTCTCCATGGGGACTATCACGATCACTGCGAAGACGACGGTCTTCTCCGATCCCGTGCCAGGCATACGCTGGCAGGCGCTTCCAGCGCTCAGCCAGGTGCAGAAGGACAGCTTCATGCAGCAGGCTACGGACGGGCTGCGAGCAGGTACTATTCCCCCGTTGGAGCTGTATCGACCGGGTCGTCAGGCCCAGCAAGCTGTTGCCGTCAACGTGGTCTACGCTGTGGCCAGCTCTGCACGCTCTTCACTGCGTACTCTGCGGTGGGCGCTGCGCTCGCCGTACCGTGTGCTGGGCTTGCTGGCGCTGGGTTTCGTGCTGTTCGAAGCTCTGAAGTACCTGGGTGTGGTGGACATGATCGTGGAGACCTGGCTCGCTTTTGTGAGCTGGATGGTGACCTGCAGGGACACGCTCATCGAGTCGTCCGAGACGATCCAGGAGTGGGTATCCTACGGGGGAGAGTGGTTGGAGTGGGCTCGGAAGCTCATGCCGCTGCGGCGCTGGGCGGCTCTGCTGCTGGCGCTCATCCTGCTCATGATCTGGGGAGCTCACGAGATGCAGGAGGTGGAGGAAGCAGGTCATTCATCGGTGGCCTCGTCCTCTGCTTCGTCCGTGGTCGGAGACGTCGGAGGGGCCGCGGTCGCGGGGGCTCCCTTGCCGCCACACCTCGCGGCTCCGCCGCCCGTGGCGGCTGCGCCCGACGCCGCGCTCGTGGCCCAGCTGGACGACTTAGCCGAGTCTCAGAGGGCGATGGCGGCGGAGCTGAACGAGATCAGGATTGCCGAGCGGGCTCGGGAGCTGAGGCGATCGGCCATGGTGTCATCGAGCGCGGACCGCGGGGCCGAGGTCGCGGCTGCCAACCAGCTGCAGATCCAGTCCATGCTGAGTCGGCTCGACGAGTTCGAGGCTCGCCTGCAGGGAGGTGCTGCGGCGGTATCCCCTGGGGCAGCCGCGGGACCCGCACCTGCCACTCCTGTGGGCGCGGCGGAGGGTCCCACCTCGCCGGCGCGCGGGGACGCGACGGTGCCGATGGAGACTCCCGACAAGCGTGCTGCCTCGGAGCCTGCCGAGGCGGTGTCCTTGGCCATCAAGCGGATGAGGTTCAAGGCTCAGATGCCGCAGCAGGTCTTCTTGGAGCAGCTGGAGGACTTCAAGGAGTACCCAGCATCCGACTGGGCGACGAAGATGCCCGAGGGCTACAGGGAGAGGATCGCCCCGGACGTGCTCTCGGATATCTACTCGACGGGGAAGACGGCGGAGGCTTGGGCGAGGGACTACATTCGGGACCGCGGCCTCGCCGACTGCAACACTGCGCGGGAGATGATCGCGACGTTCGCTGCCGTGGACACCATGCTCATGACGGACCGCCAGAAGGGGCTCTTGAACCAGGTGAGCTTCGAGAAGCTGGTGCGCAAGGGCTACGCCTTGGTGAGGGCCTACCGCAACGTGCACTGCCGCGACGACTGGAGCAGGCCCAAGGACTCCAAGAGCTGGAAGTCCAAGGTCGACTGGGAGGCGGCACGGCGCTTGGACCCGCAGCTGGCGGACGAGAGCACGATCAGGGTCATGAGTGCAGAGGAGGAGGTGAAGAAGGCAATGGGTCGAGACGCGCAGTTGATCAAGGCGCGCACGGACCTGGACGGCGGGGGTGCGAGCCCGCCGTGAGCCCCAGAGAACGCCACACGGGGCTGACTGGCGAAGGTCCGCCAGGAGCCCCTGCACGCGATCGGCCTCGTCATCGTGGCCGGTCAAGTTTTCTCGTCTACTTCTGGTTTTCGAGTCTGTGGGACTTCGGCAAGAGCGTCGGGTTCCAGCAGGTGATCTACTGCACGACGAATTGGGCTATTCATGTCGAGGAGGCGGGACATCCTGTCGGAGGTGGTGCTCATTCCACGACCGGAGAGGCCAACGTCGAGCTCACGGCGGGTGCTTTCACGCTGGCGGGAGGAGCTGGACATCACGCAGCGGGCCAATCGGTGTTTGCTGGGACTCCGCCAGCTTTATCGTGGGACGTTTGGCGACGAGCTTTTGCATCCTGGGGAGATCTGGGGTCAGGGAACACTGCCCAGCACCATGGACGGGGACCTCTCGAGGCGTGTGCTGGAGGAGGTACGTCGCCTACCACCGCCTTCCTCGACGCCCGAGCGAGGAGCCGCGATCTTGCGGCTGCGCCCCGCCGCTACGGCGGCGGAGAATCAATCCCGGTCGACCTATACCCAACGGTTGGCCGAGCTGCGGAGGAGGTGTGCTGGTGGACAGGTACGACTACCAGACCGGGGCGAAACGTTTCCCGCCCATTGGGAGCGGGTCGCTCTCCCCCCTCCTGGCTCAATGCCGGTGAGTGCGAGGTCTGTGTCGCCGAGAGTGGCTCAGATGCTGGACGATTTCCGGAGGGAGATGCTGAAGGAGGATGGCGAGGAGTGCGTCAGGGCCGCGGAGGTGAAGAATTACGTGGACCCGCACTTCCGCCGCAAGAAGGACATGCTGATGCTGGCCAGGCGTATGGCTCTGGCCGGGATGTTGTGCCGCTGCGAGTCGAAGGTGGACGAGGTCGGGCTCTTCTGTGTGGTGAAGAAGGCCGAGATCGTGGATGGCGAGCCCTTGGTGTCATTGCGTTTGGTGTTCGACCAGCGGCGCTCCAACTTACGATGGCGGGCGCCGCCGTGGTGTGCCATGGGCGGGGTCAGTGCCATGTCGTTTTTGGACGTGTCCGAGGAGATGACGGAGGAGGGCGCTCGAATGGTTTTCGGGACTGGCGACCTCCCCGACTTCTACTACACGTTGGACTTGGGCGAGGCGATCGCGCCCTACTTCGTGCTGCCTGGTGTCCGTGCTTCGGAGCTTCTCGACGCTCTCCCCTCGGACGCCCGCCTGAGCGGGTCGGGCGAGCATGTTGGTGTGCGTGTGGCGCTGATGGGTTTCTCCTGGGCCTGTTGGATGGCCCAGACGACTATGGAGGACCTGTTCAACTCTGGTCCCTCCATGGGCATGCCCGCCCTCGCCGAGGAGCAGCGGCTGGCAGAAGGAGGCCCGCTGCCCTTGATCAGTCGGGAGGTTCCTGCGGCCCACTACGAGTACATCGACGACTTCGGCATCATCGGGGTGGACTACCCTCCCGTCGCCGACGCCGAGCCGCCCACGCAGGTCAGGGATATCTGGTTGGGAGCCAAGTACTTGGTGAACGCCGCGGGTTTCAATGTGCACAAGGACGACTGCTCGGGGCAGGCTCGGATGATCGGTGGAGACTTCGTGGGCACACGCCTTGCCCCGAACCAGGACAAGATGTGGCTGGCCGTGGCCGGGGTGAACGAGATCCTCAGGCAGGGGTCGGAGTTCCCGGACGCGGTGGCCAAGATCGTGGGTATCCTGTCCTGGGGCTTCTTGATCACTCGAGGGGCTCTGAGCGTCTTCTCGGAGGTCTACCACTGGTGCATGGAGTTCCGAGGGGGCCCCCGCCGTCGGGTGCCCGACGAGGTTCGTCGCGAGCTGGCCGTGGCAGCGGCTGTGGTGCCGTTGGTGTCTGTCGACCTGGCCATGCCCTGGGACCCCACGGTGACGATGTTCGACGCGAGCCTCTACGGCGGGGCCATCATCTCCGCCCAGGCCGACACCCAGGAGATGCGTCGCGAGGCCCGCTTTGCTGTCAGAGGAGGGTGGGCCGTCTGGACTGGCATCTCGTCTTCCTGGGCGGCGGACTCTTGGGCCGAAGGCGAGGCGTATCGGCGAGTCGCCGAGGGAGTCGAGCTCGGGATGCGCGTGAGAGCACCTCCGGTGCACGCTTGCTGGGACGACATGTCGAGGTGGAAGGAGGTGGTCCGCTGGCGCTGGGACGAGAAGGAGCACATCAACCTTCTGGAGATGAGGACGGGTTTGGCGGCGGTGAGGCATTCCGCTCGGTCGCGTGCGAGCTGGGGCCGCCGTCATCTTCGCATCACCGACTCCATGGTTTGCCTGGGCGGCTTCAGCAAGGGCAGGTCGGCCAGCAAGCCGATCCTCATCTTGTGCCGCCGGATGGCCGCGATCGACCTGGGTTGCGGCATGAGGGAGTACTGGCGTTGGGTACCGTCCGACCGCAACCACAGCGACGGCCCCAGCCGGGGCTTCCCGATCGGACAGGCGCCGAAGGAGCGACTGCAGGGCGAGACCGTGCTGCCCGCCGAGACGGGTCAGGTGATCGAGGAGTTGGCGGACATCGCGGAGGAGGACCCCTTCGCGCCGCTGCGGCTGGGTCGGTCCGTGAAGGCGAAGGTGCTGCGCTTCTTCCACCTCTGCAGCGGCCACACGCGGTCGGGCGACCTGGAGTTCTGGCTCGCTCGTCTCGCGGCCAGTCGGGGGTATGTGATGCAGTGCACGAACGTGGACATCGGGTTCGGGCCGGAGTTCGACCTGTCCGAGGAGGTGAACGTGCGGAGGCTGGAGCTGCTCGCCGAGCTGGAGGTGGATGGAGGCCATGCTGGACCCTCGTGCGCTACGTGGTCGAGGGTGCGCTTCCAGCCCGGAGGACCCCCTCCGGTGCGCCTCCGCTCACACCCGTGGGGCCGCCCTGGTCTCCACGGCGCCGACTTGAGGAAGGTGGAGATGGGCTCGGCGCAGTTGTTGAGCAGCCTGCGCGTGCTCAGGGCGATCGCCCTCCGAGGTGGCTCAGTCTCGCTGGAGCATCCTGCCGACCCAGGGAAGCCTCCGTTTCCCTCGATCTTCGCAACGCCCGAGGTGCTGGAGTGGGAGGAGGTTCTCGGTGCCTACAGGGTGACCTTTCCTCAGTGCATGTGGGGCTGCCCCGCTCTCAAGTTGACTACTATCTCGGGGACAGCCAAGCACCTGCAGCGACTCATTCGCCCATGTATTCACAAGAACCACACAGCGAGCCTGTGCGGGAAGGACGAGACTGGCCGTTTCAGGACGCGGGTTGCTCAGGCCTACTCGTCCGAGCTCTGCCGCGTGCTGGCGGAGTGCCACCTGGACGCTATGCTGGACGGGCGCGAGCGGCGCGAGGCGGAGTTCACGGAGAGGGCCGTGGAGCTGCTGATCAAGGAGACGCTCGAGCGGAGGCGGCGCAACATACGGGACATCGACGTGCTGCCCGCCTCCTTCCTGGAGGCCTCAGGGTGACCGTCTCCGGGTCTGGCCTCGGCGTCTTGGCCTGCTGCTTTTTCCCCCGGGCTTGCCATGGGATGCCGCTCGCCGATGGTCGTCTGCGTCACCACGCCCAGGATCGGCGGATGCACGCTACCAATCGACGAAATGAGAGTCAGAGAGCTGGACCCTCTGGCCCCATGCAGACCTCGGAGGCTGGGCTTTCGCTTCTGCCCTACTCGGTGGGCAAGAAGACGGCCCTCAACTGCTACGTGCCCAACGTGCGGCGCTTCCTAGAGTTCGCGCTGGACCTCGACCTGCCCATGATGAGCAGGGAGGAGATCGACAATTCCATCCTGGTCTACTTGGACTACCTGGTCGAGGACGAGGAGGTGGGCCCGCACAGGGGCGACTACGTGGTGCACGGCATGGCGTTCGTTTGGCCTGAGCTGTCCACGGGCCTCCCGCGCGCCAATCGGGCGTTGCGGGCGTGGCACAAGATGCACGTGGCCGGCGAGGGTGGGCCTCAGCCGCTCGAGGTGTGGGCTGCCCTGGACGAGGCCATGAGGCTGGCCGGGTCCGTGGAGGCAGCAGATGCAGCGGCGCTGGCGGTCGACGCCTACCTCCGCTCGGCTGAGGTCTTCGCGCTGCGAGCCGAGGACATCGTGGACGCCGACGACGACGTGGTGGCGATCAAGCTGGGAGTGCAGGAGCGGAACGAGCGCACCAAGACCGGAGTGAGGCAGGGCGTGCTGATCGACCGCCCGCACATCGCCGACATGCTTCGGGCGCGCAAGGCCGCCAAGAAGCCGGGCGAGCTGGTCTTCGGCTGCTCGGTGGAGGCCTACCGTCGTGCTCTTCGGAAGGCCAGCGACGACATCGGCATCGCCGCCTTCCCTGCCCACTCAGCGAGGCACTCGGGCCCCAGCCACGACGCGGCGGAGGGCTACCGGACGGTGTGGGCCATCCAGCGGCGGGGCCGCTGGGCGTCGGAGAAGTCGGTGCTGCGCTACATGAAGACGCACGCCCTGGTGGCAGCGAGGGCGGCCGTGCCCGCTGCCGTGATGGCGCGCGGCCGTGAGCTCCTGGCCAGACAGGTGCCGCGCCCAAAGATGGCGCGAGAGTGAATGCTTTGATTCATCGATTTTTTGTATGTCGGAGGCAGAATGACTACGGCTAATGTGGCAACCCGCCCACCCAGAGCCCTGTGCCACATGATCCAGGCGCTGTGCGTATCAGCGGTGGGTTGGGATTGTGAGTCCAGAGCGAGTCCATCGCTTCGCCCGTCGCTCAGCCGGCTCGCCTTTGGATTTCTGCAAAGGAAGCCGCCGCTCTCGGCGGCGCCGTGATCATCTGTCAGGACCGAAAATCGTCCTGTCCATTGCCATCGTCTCAGGGTCCTGATTTCTTTTGGCTGGCGCCGTTCCGCTGCTCCCGTCTTGGGGTGAGGTTTTCGGTGGTGAGCCTCTAAATGTGTGTTGTATAAGATACAATGAATTTTTCGGGCCTCCACCTCTCACCCCTTCGCCCCCCCCCCCGACCTTTACTTTGGACTTCGGGGGGGGGGCGGGGAGCAGCTGAAGCGCCGTCTGTATAACGTGTTATGCATGTGTTCTCCGTCTCAAGTTCTCCCTGCTCCCTCCCTCCCTTCTTTCGTCTTCGTACCTTTCTGCCTCCTCCTCGGTATTGGGGATTGTGAGTCCAGAGCGAGTCCATCGCTTCGCCCGTCGCTCAGCCGGCTCGCCTCTGGATTTCTGCAAAGGAAGCCGCCGCTCTCGGCGGCGCCGTGATCATCTGTCAGGACCGAAAATCGTCCTGTCCATTGCCATCGTCTCAGGGTCCTGATTTCTTTTGGCTGGCGCCGTTCCGCTGCTCCCGTCTTGGGGTGAGGTTTTCGGTGGTGAGCCTCTAAATGGAATGGAAGCAGTATCAGCAGGTGGTCGGCAAGATCAACTGGCTGGTGACCAAGCTGCGCGTGGACTACTCGTACGACCTGGCGGTGCTGCAGCGCGAGAAGGGACGCAAGAAGGGCCCGAGGATCGCGGCGCTGATCAAGGCGAACCAGTTGCTGCGGGAGTTGAAGCGCAGCTCGACGTTCAAGATCACGATGCGACCGATCGACCTCCAGAGATTCGGCCTGGCGGTGGTATCAGACAGCTCACTGGGCAATGTGATGAGCGACCGGACGGCGTTGCAGTCAGATCCGGCGACCGAGAAGATTGGTACTCAGGCCGGTTTCCTCATCCTGTTTGCGGACCGCGCGCTCGTGGACGGCGGCGTGGGCCGGTTCTCGTTGTTGGAGGGCAAGAACCACAAGCTGAGGCGCGCGGCGAGGAGTTCCTACGCTGCGGAGGTGATCTCCGTGGGTGACGCCGTGGACGTCGTCCAAGGGATGCGCGACCAGATCGCGGAGATGTTGTACGGCCCCGTGGCAAGGGGCGCAGGCATGAAGTTGTCGGGCTGGCAGATACCGATGACGATTGTGACGGATTCGAAGGACGGCTACGACAGGCTCAACTCAGACGCCGGAGTGGGCAGCTCGGCGCAGAAGTCGGTCAACCTAGAGTTGGCCAGCATCAGGGAGTTTCTAGATAGGCCGCAGACGATGGTGCGCTGGACGGACGGGACCAACATGTTGAGCGATGTTCTGACAGAGGACATGCCGGCGGACCATCTTCGAGAGACGTTAGAGCGCGGCACGTGGAGTATCGAGTTTAGAGCGGAAATGGTGAAGACGGCCCGGCGTGTCGCTCGAGAACGCTGGGAATCCAGAGTGAGGGAGTTGGCCAAGGATGGCAGGTTCACACCCGGAGTCCTTGAGCCATAGTGAATGATCTGGACCTCTCCTTTCCTCCTCCAATTGTCTAAGCTCGTGTCGTGCCGAGGCTAGTGCAAGTTTGTACGCTCGAGTGCGGTGTGGTGCTAATTATCTACTCTCTCCTCCTCTTCCTCGGAATATGTGCATCCGATTGGACCGGCTGGTCCGTTTGCGTATCGTGAGAGTAAATGACGATTTTTGGACAGAGTTTTCTGTGTTTTGATTTCATGAGCCTGGTAGCGTTGGTTCTGGGCTCGCTCCATATTGTAATTTCACCGCCATGGGTCGCGACCATGGAACCTTTGTCTTGGATGACTGAATGGATGGTTTGCCTATCAGAGGTCGGCCATCGAACTGGGCACAGATCCACAAAGATTAAGAATCCGTGAGGAAAAACGAGCCCTTCGGATTGGATCTGTCCCCTGCTCTCGGCTTTAAGCCCGTTGTATACCCTTTTCCCCCGCCCTTTCTCCCTCTTATCTCTCTCCCATTGCTGCCGGCTCGGTTCGAGCCGGCTTGAGGCGATTTGGTTCCTGGTAGCAGGACTGGAAAAGGGGCCGCATCCTCTCCTCGAGCCCTGCGGGCTCCGCCGCCGACCCCCGCTGCGGGATCGGGAGGTCAGAGGAGGCCCAACCCGGTTCCGCACAGCAACGCCGCGAAGCGGCCTATAAAAGAAGTGCTGTTTCAACCGCGCGCTGCACGAGGGCCCAGACGGGCCATATATATATATATATATATATACATATGTGTATATATATACCATTCATCGAGAGGCCGACTGAGATACGTATAGCCTCAACCAAATAACAACAATCAAAAACTCGGGGTTGCGATCGGCATCAGAAGATTCTCATTCCCACTCCCGCATTTGATGTGTCTGGCGTAGCCGAAATACTTCATGTTGTAGTTCAGGGCGGGCGGAAGGGGACCACAACATCTTCTCCATGCGATCGGCCAAGATCACGTCGGGGTGGTGGTCGCGCCCGTAGGCCACACACCTCAAGGGAGCCCTCGTATGGCGCCCCTAGCCGCCCACAGGGGCGCCCCCTCTTGGCACGTCGCCTCACTCGGTCCACCATTCAGTTGTCTCTCCCCACGTCTCGTCGGAGTAGAGGTCGTCGGACTCTGGACAGCTCACCTCGCCCTTGGTGGGCTTCTGCTTGGTGGTGGTCTTCTGCTTCGGCCTTGGTGGGCCTAGCATCAGGAGCTCCGCGGCGACATCTTTCACTTTCTTCATCTTCAAGTTCGCCTTGATGCCGTCGACCAGCTGCCTCTGCTGCTTGCTGTAGTTGGTGCGGGACCCCACCGCACGGATAATCTCGGCAGCTAGGTCTGAGGTCGCACGGGAACCCATCTCATGCTTTTCTTCGGCATCTTCGCACGGAACTGCGTGAGAGCGAACGTCTTGGAGTACCACTGGACGCTGGAGAGGGCCTTCCACCTGCCTCGCCTCCGCACCTGCTCTAGGCTAGCCCGTCCGCGGGCCACGTCCTCGCTGGGCCCCGAGTGGCGGGGCCCGTGCGGCGGCGGCGCCCAGGGCATCCCCAGCGCGCGACACGCGCGATGCCACTCCTTGCGGAAGCCTGCCTGCCTCGGGCCGAAGATGGGCCCCGTGGAGTTCTTCTTGACGTCCTTCAGGGCCAGGATGAGGTTCGCGACCGTCCCGCGGCGGATGACGACCCCCTGGTTGCTGCCCGTCTTGCCCTCCTCGCCTCTGGCAGAGATGCCAAACAGGAGGCCTACGCATCGGCCATCCCAAATGATGTCGGCCTCGCGCAGCATCTCCATGTCCTGCTCCCGCCCGTAGACGTCGTACTGCACGAGGGTCCAGATAGCTTCGTCCAGGAGCCCCGCCTCAAAAAAGTAGATGGCGATGGCGAATACGGCCTTCTCAGGCAGCGGGCCCACTTCAACAGAGACGACCAACCTCTGCCAACTCTTCAAGCTTCGCAAGGCCAGAGGGAGCTGGTTCCTCAGCTCAGGCCAGATCACCAGCAGCCCGAACAGGACGATCGACCCCCACGTGGGGCGGAGTCGGTCCCGGTAGCACTTCATGTCCATGTAGTCGGCCAGGGAGTGGTCCACGGCTTTCGCGAACCGAAGCTCCCAACCCTTGTCGACGCAGTAGCTGAGGAAGTCTCGCACCTTCGGGGCCCACTGCGCCGCGGTGACGTCCGCCGCGGAGTGGGTGAGGAGCCTCGTGGAACCGCCCTCGCTGATGCCCAGGTGCGGCTCCTTCTCGTAGTTGTCCCACGCCCGTGGCCCCCGCTCCTGCAGGGGGGCGTCTCCCGCCTTGGGCGGCCTCTGGCGAACCGCTCCGACGGGGCGGACTGCCTCAAACGCCAGGGCAGCTAGCCACCAGCGTATCCCGTACACGCGCGGCCCAGGTCGCGCAGATCGTGAGCTCGGCTGTCCGTCGGAGCGGGGTGTCGGTCGCTGTGAGCCGCCACCGTCTCGGGCGCCGCGCCGAGGAAGCCCCCTTGAGAGAGGCCGTCGGCGACGTTCAGCTCCGACGAGACGTAGTGGTAGTATCCGTGGATCGCGAAGCACACGGTGATCGCCGCCGCCTGGCGGCACAGGCGCAGCAGGGCTGGCGAACTCGAGCGGCCCTTGCCCAGGGCTCCCAGGGCCACCGTGCTGTCGGTGAGGATCAGGACCTTCCGCCTCCACGTCCGTGACGATCTGGCCAGGTGTCGCAGCAGGCCCACCACGGCCCGCGTCTCGTTGATGTTCGTGTGCTCCGTGATCCTCCACCTTCCGAAGTAGAGTGGCCGCCACCTCGCGAGCGGCATCCAGGCAGGGGGCAGCGGAGGGACTCTGACTCGATCGCCCCGCCCCACCTCGATCCTCGCCCTTCCCGGCCTCGGTGGGCCGAAGGACGCCGTAGATGGGGGCGCACGCGAGCCCGTTGGATCGGGGCCCCTCATCTCCTTCGTCACGCGGGCGAGCGCCTCGAGGATCACCCCGGCCAGCGCGGCGCACAGCGGCGGCTGGTACGCCTGGGCGGAGGCGGTGCAGAAGTCGGGACGGCCCCGCTCCACTCGTCCCTTGAGTACTACTTGATGCTTCTCTCGGTGATTGCACTTCAGGCGGAGACGATCCGCGGCGAGGTCCAGTGCGTCGTCGTTGAACCCGAAGATGCCAATCATGGTCGGCTTCATCGACGGGGCTCACCCGTCTCCTCGAGGAGGCTTGCCATCTCGGGGAGGTTCCACATGGGCGGGTACGGGTCCTCCTCTGGGTCTGCAGGGTGCTCCATCAAGTCCAGGCCCCCAGCTAGGCAGACTTCGCGGACCGCCTGCATGGCCGTGAGCAAGAGGCGCGACCCCAGGTCCAGGCGGAGGCGCTCGAAGGCTGTGAATGATATGTCGCTCCGCCCCCAAGGCTCGCGGCGCGTCCGCAGGGGCCTCGGCCCCTTTCCCAGGAAGCGAGCTCGACTCCAGGTGGAACATGGCGGCGAGGCGATCACTGCGTGGAAGTACCCGTCGCGCGCCAGACCCAGGATCACGCTGACAAGCTCGTCGTTGGTGAGGTCGTGCTTCGGGTCGATCACCGCGTCGATGGACCAGACCTCGACCTCGTAGCCGTCGCGCTCCGCCCGCGAGTGGATGGCCTCCTCCAGGTCCCCCTCCCGGCGCCTGCCCGCGAAGAGGTGCAGCGCCCGGTAGGCCCTTCGACCGATCCGCGGCGGAGGCGTGGTCGACGCCTCGGCAAGCTCGCCCACGTCGTAGGCGCACCCCCCAGCGTGGGGCACCCAAGCGTCCTCCTCCTGGTCTGTGTAGATGTCCTCGGTGGCGATCGTCCACCCCCTCATCTCGCTGTAGCGCGCGTCCTTCCTGATCTCCCCCAGCGATGCGTCGGTGACCGCCGCCCCGTAGCCCGTGTCGCTGGAGTCCGTCATGAACACCTGCGAGAGCCAAGGCGCCTCGAGATCCGTGCGCAAGAGCGGTGCGCAGTGGGCCATCGTAGTCAGCTCCCACCTCGCCGCGTCCGTCAGGCGAACGGCGTCTTGGCGGTCTCGGGGCGCCTCATCTCGTGATAGACCTTGTCGAAGATGGCGTGGCCCGTGCGCTGGAAGATGGCCGCCCACGCCCACAGCCCCACGATGCGCTCGAGGAGCTCCGCGGTCCAGCACGTCCGCTCCGCCAGCCGCAGCGTCGCCAGAGCCAGGCCGCAGGTGCGATCGATCTCGGCCGAGACTGTTCAAGGTCGGCCTCGGATGACCGCCCCCGGCGACTCGAGCCCCTCGCCTTCGTTCTCCTTGCGGGCGGGGAGCCCGACCTGCCCCAGGTAGTGCTTGACTCGGGCCGTCAGCCTGCTCACGACCTCGCTCACTGGTTACTGCGCGCCGGCGGGCGTGGCCATGACCCCGTAGTCGTCCATGTGCGCCCAGTTCACCGACTCGAACCCGTCGGGCCCGATCAACTGAGGCGTCGGGGCCCCGTGGGCCAGGCGCGCGCCGACGGAGTCCTCCCCGAGCCCGCGCGCTATGCAAGCCTGCAGCGTAGAGTGGGCCAAGAACGGGGCCCACGACCAGCCCATCACCAAAACCTTCAACGCCAGGAGAGGCCCGCCATCGGGGATGACGCAGTCCCGCCCTTTGGTCCTCATGTAGTCGACGAACTCGTGGACGGGCACCTCCTCCAAGACAAAGTAGGGCCAGACATCGGGCGGCGTCTCCAAGCGATAGAACGTGTCCGGGATGTCGCCAACGCCCGTGTAGACCACGTCCTTCTCGCCGAGGTTGGAGAGGTCCAGGTGGGTGAAGGTCGCGGGGCTGCTGAGTGGCACGTGCGGGGGCCTCTGCCAGCGGAGGTTGGCCCGCTTCTGGTCCCAGATGGCGCGGACCTGGCGCCTGGCGGGGCCGAGGGGGCCCGCCTCCTCCTGCAGGTGCTTCTTGATGGCCCCGAAGAGCGAGACACCCTCGACCAGCTGGTCGGTGGTCCCGAGCATCCCCGCATCCCAGAGCCCCTCGGCCAAGCGGAGACGAGGCGCCCTCGATCGAAGAGATGGATCTCGGTAGACCTTCTGGCCCCTCAGCTCCTCGCCCATGGCTGGGCTGGGCTCGCGTAGCATCCTCCCGGCAACATCGGATAAATGCTCGGCGGCCACCGGGCAGATGTCCACGATCCTGGCAGGGATGGTCACTGGCGGCGGAAGGGCTGGCTCCTCCACGTCGACGGAGCACATCGCGCCCTTCGGTGGCATCTTTCTTCCCTTTGAATCCTTTCCCAGGGCAACAGTAGCCCCTTCGCCCGAGCACGGCGAGGCCCGACCGGCCGTGGCGCGCCGAAGGGCAGCGTCTTCGTCTTCCTTGATCGCGGCCACCTGGCTGCCCCAAGCTAGCCGCGCCTCCAGGAGCCTCCTCGAAGTGGCCCTCTGGAGCGGTGTCGCCCGCTCCCACGCGGCCGACGGCCCAGCGCCCTCGGCCGCTCCGACCGTGCCCCGAGAGAGGTGGTGCATGGATCGGATCAGCCCGTTGGCGAGAGCTCGCACATGTCGCAGTGTGCCTTGATGCATTGGCCCCGCGCGGTCCGCCACCACCGACCAGGGTAGCAGCGGCAAGTCCGGCAGAAGGTCTCGGTCTCGAGGAACGGCTTCGGGAGGCACGCCCGCGGCTGCTGTCGAGGTAGACGATGGAGAAGCGTGTGGATGGAGAAAAGCGGGCATGGCGTCGTCTCCCGAGGGATGCGGTACCACGCGAAAAGATCGTCGCGACCAGCAGGAACGCCACCGCAGCTATCAGGAGAGTAAGCCCACCAGGGTGGCCGTCGTCGGAGCGAACGGAACGGTGAACCGCCGGCCCCTCCTTCAAGCGCGGGGGGCCCTGCAAGGCGCCGCGGACGGGGAAGATTTCCCCCGCGTCTACTCGCCCTCCTCCTTCGCCGCGTCCGAGCCCCCCTTCTGCAGATACTTCTGGAAGAGAGCCTTTTTGCAGCCTGGCTGTCAAGTCGCGCTCCACTCCTGGGGGCGCATCCTCGCCCTCCGTGAGAGACCCCCAGTCCAACTCGTTCGCGAGGTCCCAGCGCACCTTGGACTTCCACTTGTTGGCCTCGCTGCCCCGAGGCTGCTTCCAGTCGTTGATGCCTACCACGTCCTTGAACGCCCGCTTCAACGCATAGGCCCGCGCGCGCAGGATCTCGCGCCCCGCCGTCTGGATGAACTCGGGCGAGGCCTCAACATCCGATCCAGCGCCATGCAATGCAGCATCATCTCGTGACCGATGCGGTTGCGATTCAGCTTCTTGAGGCGAACCCAGTCCGTCGCAAACTTCACCATGCTGCCGTTCTTCCCGTAGGTCTGGACCAGCAGCCCGGGCGCCACGCGGGAGGTGAGGCCTGCTGGGAGGGTGAAGGTTGGCGGCGCATCGATCTTCGAGAGCTTGGCCAGCAACCGCTCGCTGGGGCCCCGAAGTGCCTCCCTCAACGGCTCGAGGCTCACCCCCGCACCCTCCAGCGTCTCCTTCGTCCCCAGGTCGATGGTGGGGCAAGTCGTGGATCCCGCCGTGGCCGCCGTGGGCGACGCGTCCTGCAAGGGCTTGCATCCAGGCGAGGCCTTGTCCGCACTGATCGTGTCCTCGAAGCGCTTCATCCGGTCGATCATCCTGTCCACATGCATGTCCATGTTGGGCTCGGTCGTGACGCTGGGCACTCTCTCCCAGCTGGCGTGGCTGCTCTCTCCGGGGGGCGCTGCCGACGATGTGCTTTGACTCGTGCGTGCACGAGGCGACTCCGACCTTGAACGGGTGATCTCGTCGAGTAGGCTGCTTATCATGGCTTTCATCTCCTGCATGTCCTTCGCTGGCTCCGACTCGTCCGAAGAGCTCGCCACGGAGTGCCCTGCCTCCCCGTCGCTGTTCACGTCGCTCCCTGGAGGCGTTCCCCCAGCTAGCAGTGGCGACGGGCGCCGCTTGCAGCGGCGCAGGGGACTTGGCCCCAGGGCCACTGGGGCGGTGAAGATCATGATGGGAATCTCGAGCTTGCCGTCTTGGTATAAGTCGTGCAAGTAGCCGCGGAAGTCGTCGACTTCGAGAAGCATGTTGTGGCCATCCTCGAGCTTCTCCACTGTCCACCGCATCCACTGCCATAGGTTGCAGTAGACGGCCACTCTCCAGAAGAAGAAAGCAGCGCCCACCGTCGACCCCCAGTTCCATGTGCTCCACACGCCAACTCGCCCATAACGAAACCAGGACAAGGAGGCCACATAGCCTCGGATGTTGGACAGATACAGCTCGGCCTCGAGCTGCTTCTCCTTGGCCTTCTCCAGGATGTCCGTCTTCTCGCTGGCCGTGAGGGCGGGGAAGGTCTCGTAGTCCCAACCTTGCTGACGACGACTCGACAGCTTCGCCCGATCCTTGATGTCGCCCACGCCGAGGGCGCGGTCCGGCTTCACGTAGATCCACCTTGTGTCGTTCTTCTTCTTGGGGTACATTCGCATCGCTAGGAGGACCACTTGCCCCCCTTGGGGGGCTGTCGTCCGATAGAAGCGGCTCCATCGTGTCACGCTGGACATTTGAACCCGCGGGTAGTCGTAGAAACTGAGCCGCTCCGCCTCTCTCGTGTACCTCAGGGACGCGTCGTCCTCGGGCTCCACGAGCGGCTTCGAGAGGAGAGAGTCGAGGACCCCCCAGTCCCCGATGTACGAGAGCAAGACAGCATCGGCGAGCCACCACCGCCTCGCCGTGGTGCCGACGATCAGCGCCCGCGCCGCGAGCACCCACGCTGGTGGGGCGGAGAGGCGCGCGCGAGCTCCTGGCTCGAAAGATTTCGAGCCAGAAAAAGCTTGAGCGGGCACGGGAGACAGGCAGGGCAGGAGGAGGGATACAACCTGCATTACTATCTTACACGGCCCACCCCATCCCAACCACCCCGAGACGCGATCAATTAAGTTTGGAAAGCGATCAAAAACGTTGTATCTCCTCCCGCCCAATGGTATGAGAGTGGACCTGACGGTTGATGATAAAACACCGTACCTCAACGTTGGAAGGGGGTGAGGCTTTGAGTCGAGTAGACGAGGCAGCTCCCGCCTAGGTTAGAGCGATGGGCCTGTGTGGAGGCTAACGTGAAGTCTTACCTGGCAGACCCCGAGCAAGCGGGTGGCCCCCCGCTCTGGGCTGTCAGGCATCGCGCAACCTTGGACCTGCAATCGTTGATGACGGAAGATTCATATGTGAACGGAGTATTAGAAGACCGTTTGAATCACCATTGCGGAGGCGTGCCTGATAGAGTCGACCTCGACGGCAGGGACATCATTACCTATTTCTATTATGAGCCTCAGATGGCGAGCCGGGGGGGCTGGAAGCCTGGCCCGACCAGGGTCGTCAATAAAATGCCTCCGGCTCCCGCATACTTCGGCCGTGCCGTTGGATGTGGGAGATGCGCCGCTCTCGCGCCTGCAAGGGGGGCGGCAGAACAACAGGCGGAGGCACTGGGCGCCATCGATTTAGTCGACGATGATGGCGCCGAAGACCCAATTCAGGAGTCAGGAGATGAGCATAATAAAATTGAGCAGTTCAGAAGGGAGGCCCCATCCCAAAAACTCTTCATGACGCGCCTGCCTAAGAACCCATACTGCCCAACGTGCGCATGGGCAAAAATGCCCAGGGCGCAACGGCGCAAGAAGCGGAACAAATCGCTAAAGAAGTTGAAGCCTCATTCGGAGCCGAAAGCATTCGGAGGGTTATGCACAATGGATCATTGGTCTGCGCTGGATTACCTATCGAGGGGACTCTACGGGGAAACTTCGTGTGTGACGCTGCGCGATCGGTTTGCAAGATTCCTTGCTGCTAAGAGTACCTTCGGCAAATCGGCCGAACGGGTCACAGATTTCCTGGTGAATCTGCGAGCACATCATGAGCAGTTTGTGCATATTCGGATCCGGCCAGAGAGCTGAAGAAAGCCTGCCAGGATCTGAAGATAGCATGCGACTCCACTCAGCCGGCGAAAAAGGAACATAATTCCGTGGCTGAGCGCGCCAATGGCGTCGTTCAGGACGGTGTTGGAACGCTGCTCATGACCGCCGGCCTACCGGCGCAGTTCTGGGCATATGCCGTACCGTACTTCTGTGCATGCTACAACGCAACGCAACAGGATAACGGCAAGACTCCATGGGAGTTGCGGTTCGGATGACCCTTCAACGCCCCGCTGGTCCCCTTCGGGTCAGCTATCCGATATTTGCCGCCGCCAGAACCCAGGATAAAGCAACCCAAGACGGCGCCGCGAACGAGAGTCGGTATCTACCTCGGCTATGTCCAGCATGCGGGGGGGCGCTTTTGGAACAGCATGAGAGGCTGAACTTCAGAATCGGCATGAAAGCGGACGGCGATAGGCCCATCGTCGAGAGGTCCGAGCAGGTATGGACAGACACGAGCCTGGAACAAAATGTTATTGGGTCTCCCGATGGGATCGTTGACAATGTCGACAAGGATTCTGCCGTGACTTTCCCGCTTAGGCGTGCCCGCGACAAGGCCGCGACGAATGTCGGAAGCGCTGCCCTAGAAGATCTGCTCCCCGGCGGGAAAACCGAAGAAGGACAAAAAGAGAAACCGCATGCGGAATCCGGGGGGGCACCCAGCTCCCATGAGGGCATGATGCCTATGGCGAGGAAGGAGGGGGGCCCTGCGCCCATGGTGAAGGGGTACATGAGGCCATATCAGACCCTGACCCGACGGACGACGAAGGCCCATCGGGCCCCCCTCCTGGCCCGGAACTGCCGCCGAGGGCCAGGCGCAGAAGAGCCGACTTAAAGCGGTAAAGGACGGCGAGAACCTGGCTAAATTGGAAGTCATCATTGCCAGACAGACTAAATTCCCTGCGGCCCCAGCCAGGGGGGAGCCGAAGTTTGAGCAGATAATGGCAAGGACGACGCAAAACCTCGACACGGGTGAATACTGTGAAGAGGAAGTCGTGGTAATAGGAAAGACGATGGAGACCGCGAAGCCTCTCCCATTGAAAGGCAAACAGAAGACAGCGCACCTCAGAGTGGTTTTCTATCACGATCCATAGTATAGAAGACCGAATGAGGTGGATGTACATGATGAAGTGCATGGCCACGCCATCCTCAGGCGCACGCAGAAGGAGTCTATTAACGCGGAGGCACACCCAGACCGATGGTTCAAAACGGGCGGCCCCGAACGTAAAAGATTCATTGAGGAGTATAAATCCGAGCAGACAGGCTTCTGCGGCCAGGGGGATCCTGGTCCCAACGCGAACCTGCTGAAAGCCATTGGCATCGAGATGCCAAGGTCGGCGCCTACCTACATCATGGCTGCCGCAGCCCCACCGAGGATAAATGATATAGACGAAGATGCGTTGACTGACTTCCAGACGTGGTGCGCGGAAGCGCGCGCAACAGGAGAAGGAACGGGGTCGTCCCATGGGCGGCCCTCAAGTGCCGAAGATGAGAGCGACTGGGGCCGCGCAGCGCTAAGCCGCGCGGCCGCGACCAGGCGTCGCGGTGTCCTTCGCATGCCCTTTCCGCGGGGGAATTGCGGGCCATGGCAATCATCGGGAGAAAGAACCAGCTTGCCAGCCCTGTTACAACCCGTTCGCGGACTCCATGCAGACCGGAGAACGCGAGGCGATCTTCGCCCTTCCACCCGAACATAGTGCCACAAGAATAAGCCACTACGCATGTGTCGCCCGCCCAGTCACCAAGGCGGAGGCGGCTAACAACGAGAAGGCTCAGAACGCACTGATGGATGAGTGGGGGCGCCAGAGAAGGATAAAGGCGCGGGATGAGACAAAAGTCAAAGAGCTCCGCGACGCCAGGGACATGATGAAAAGGGAAAACTTTTCACACCGGCAGACTATTTGCGATCTAAGTGGGGAAAAATGCCGAACTTCCCGAAGATCACAAGGGCCGCAAATTCAAGGGGAGGGTCGTATTCGACGGATCCGATGTGGCAGATCAAGACAAGACTGTCGCACTATTCCTGGAGCTGTCTAGTTGGCCTGCCACGATGCAGGCCAGCAGAGCTGCCGATGCATGCGGACTGTTTGCGAAGCATGACATGCAACAGGCCGATGCTCGGCAGGCGTATGCGCAGTCGAAGTTGGGGGGGGGGGGGGGGTGCCCCAACGTGGGCGCGGTTGCCGAAGGAGGCTTGGCCAAAGAGCTTGGCATGAATGATTCACCCAGTCTGCCCGCTGCTATGAGCGATGCGCGGACGCCCCGACGCGTTTTTTTTTTTTTTTTTTTTTTTTTTTTTGAACAACACTGTGAGGCCCACGTCATGTCAAAGGGATTCGTTCCGATCCCCTGTTGGAGAAGCTGCTATTATCATCCCGAGCTTGAGTTATTCCTGATCGTGTACGTAGACGACTTCAAGATCGCGGGTCCCGCCCAACACATGAAGACAGGATGGGATCTTATCCTGGGCCCGTCCGAGACGGCCCCTGAAGGAATTTTTATGGATCCACCGACTGCGGTAGGGCGGTATCTTGGATGCGAACATAGAGTTTCTGAGAAGTGGGTTGGCTGGCAGGGCGCGGCTCCGACCACGTTGGACCCGCCGCCACCTAAGGAAAAGAAAACCAAAGACCCGGCTGACTCAGGCAACCAGCCGGCTGCCGCCGCCCATGGCGGTGCGCAGACGGCCCGTGCAGCCCCGATCTATTGCGACAGATCGTCCCACGTCCCAAACGGACAACATGCGTGGGCGAGATATGATGCCAACACCGCGAGGTACCGCGCATCCCTGCCGGGCGGCCCTGAAGGGCGAAGGTCACCCGAATGATAAAATTTGATTACGACACATGGGAGGAGCTCGATGACGCTGCCTATGTTGGCGGAATGGTGGCTAGTTCGGCTGCCGCCGCCGACAAATGCTTCCGGGCACTGCTCCCTGGTGGCGCGCACAACGCGATCACGATACTCGTGTTTACCGATTGCAACGCTGAAGCTACCATCTTCACGCCCCAGAGCCGCCCAGACCAGGACTGGACTTGGCTAGAGCGATGTGCGGCCCTCGCGCCGCCGCCGCCTGTTCTGGCGCCTGAATACGAACCAGGATCTAAGAAGAGAGTGCGCATCATGGAATACGATATGGTCGAGTTCTTCAAGTCCCGCATTATCCTTGTGCGCAGAACTCGCAGACACTGACCGAGACACCTATCCGCTTTCGGGCGCGCCCTTTGGCCCCGAGTTGACATCGTGCGAGGGCGGCCAGGGTGGCCCGCGGGGTGAGATCTTAGCCCCTGCCGAAGAGGCCCTGGCCGAATGCTTGCGCATCGATGCCGTGATAGGACCTCCACGCGCGGAGATCCAAGTGAGTGGTCCTCCCATGGGAGGGCCACCTGCACCAGATCCTAAGCCTCCTGCGCCGCCAGGAATCCTGCGCACAATCGCAGCGAAAGTTCTGATGAAGAGTCTATACGGCGCGCGAATGGCTCGCCCTGATCTGCTCAATTCTGTCTGCAAAACAGCCGCGTGCGTCACCAAATGGACGGATCAACAGGACATGGATCTGTTCCGCATTATCTGCTATTTAAAAAAGCCACGACTCACTACCGCCTGGTATCCTGGGTGAGAGACCGCCGCGAAGATGCATGGCTTCGTCAATTCGCGGACGCTGATTTGGCAAGTGACATCCGCACGCGCCGCAGCACCAGTGCGAACGCAGTTCCTGTGGGGAGAGAACGCGCGAGCGCTTCAGTGCTGCAGTTCCCGAAGACA